GGCCGGCCCTGCTTTCTTTCTTTTTCAAGATAGTTGAGCTCACAAGCAAGACAAAAATCTTCCTGATGCTTAAAATAAAGAAGGAAAATCACATACGCAACAGTGAGAAGGGGCTGAAGTCAAGCAACCCACAGGGATGCTGGGATCCCTAGGGCTGGAGTTTTAACAACCATCTGGGGACAGAGGTCAAGGTGGAAGCCATGGGAACAGCAGAGAGCTGAAACTGAGTGCCCTGCACAAAGCTGGGAGCTGAGGAAGGGCTGCCTCTTCTGGGCACAGAAGACAGAGAAAAAAACCCATCCATCCATAGGCCCTGGATTGCAATATGAAAGCAAGCCACCCAACATGCAGTGGATGTAAAAAGCCACGTCAGGAAATCAGCATCCCAAGGACCACCTAAGTTATGAACTTGGATTCAGACCAAACCTCAGGTGTAAAAACCTGCTCTGAGAAACTCATGAATAAAATGGTCAGGAACCTGTGTAGCTTGTAAAACTGGGGCAGAAACCAAAGCAAGCTGGCCCCAGGGGGTGGCAGTGGGGCCCAGGGGACTTGTTTGGACTCTTGCAGGCAACAGAAACACAAAGAAGCCAAAGAAACCTTCCATGGTGACACGCCATAGCGGAATTTACCCCATTGTACAAACAGTAACCGCACCATGCCTCTTCCCCAACGCTCTTTTATAATTGGGGAAACTGAGGGTAACTGAGTTTAAGTATGTTGCCTGAGGTCAGTTAGCAATTGAAGTATTTAATTTCCCTGTGTGTCAGTCTTCTCAGCTGTAAGATAATAATTTTCATGTACCTTCCTCAGAGGGTTGTTGTAAAGCTCCAATGAGAAGCACTTAGAACACCTGGCATGTAATGGTATTAACTGAGTTAATGGTATTAACAGATAAAATAAGCTTTAAAAAGTTTCAGAGACAGGGCCGGCCAAGTGGCGCGTTGGTTAAGAGCTGGCTTGGGACGCCAGAGGGCCCCGGTTCGGATCCCACATATGAGGGCCAGTGACACTACCCTCTACAGCTAAGATGATAAACAACAGCTCGGCCTGGAGCTGGGCTGCCCTGAGTCGCCAGCTGGCGACGGTGTAGGCTGCAGTGGGCTGCAGTGGGCTGCCGTGAGCTACATGAGTGGCTGGCAGCCAGCATGAGCAGCTGATAGCTGGTGTGAGCTACCAGGAGCCGCTGTGAGCGGCCAACCAATGACCAGCGACCGATTGCCTCACCCGGGAAGAGCACAATGATCATACCAACATGGGCCAGTGAAGCTACGTCCTCCACAACTAGACTGAAGAACAAAACAGCAATTTGTCTACCTGTCTGTTCCCCTTCCCCAATGCCCCATCGCTGTTCCCCTCCCCCCAACTCCCCAATAAAACCTTTAAAAAAAAGATTCAATGAGTTAGTTAATATTAGAACATAGTAGATGTTCAATAAATGTCAGTGATGACTGCCAATCCCTGGATTGCTTCCTCTTCCCTGGGCCCCCAGCATACAACTGAATGAACAATGATTGACTAGCTGGCTGCTGGGAATGGCAGGCAAGTGGGGGCGATGGGTGCAGGCCACAGGAGAGATGCCGCTGTTCCTCCTCTGCTGGGTTCCAGAGACAACGGGAGCTCATTCAGCCTCGCCTCCCCTCTCCCTCCCACACAACGGCACTACATCACAGGACTGGAAGAGCTCATGGAGTTTATTCGGGCAGCACAAAGGGGACTGGACGTTTCACTTGTAGACACAAACACACACAGATACACATATCCCAAGTGATGTCACTCCAGGTGTTGACACGGTCTGCTTGGAATCCCCAGATTTCAGAGTCAGTTGTGGATCTCAGGAGCCTGAGGAGGCCCAGGCTACGAAGAAGAAACTGTGATGGGGGAGGTCTTGGCTGTCTTTCCCCTCTCCCTCCCTAAACACTAGAACCCCACTTCCAACCCTGCTCACCTCTCCCTTTTAAAAGGCAGTTCCCAGCTCACCTGAAGGGAACGGAATCACCGGGAGCTCCAGGTCCCCATGTGGCCCCCTCCTCCCCACGCTGGTTCTGGCTCATTAGGATTGTCCATGTTCTCATAAGAACCTGCGTCTGCTTAGGACCAGGAAGGAGTGAAACATACATGGAGCTGGAAGTAGGCTGGGAGGGGTCAGCCTCAGGCAACAGGGCACAGCCATAGAAGCACCCACCTTCCTCATGATTGGGAGCAGGCTGGACCCGAAGGGAGCGAAGCTGGGGGGCAGCATACAGGATGCCTCTCATATCCTCATAAGACTGGGACCCTGAGTGGGAAGAGGGTGGAGAGTTGGAGGCCTGGGAACCACGCTGGGGGCTTATGGAAGGGAAGGGCCACCTAAGGTATAGAGAGTCTGAGGGGCAGGGGGACGTGAGAGGCTTGACTCATGTTGTACCGGGAAGGAGTGATTAGGGTCAGCGCCCAGTGATTAGGGCTCAGTAATTAGGGCCCTTGTTAATTGTAGGCTTGGTCAAGTATGGGTTTGATTAGGGTCATGGTCAGAATAAGGGTCAACAATAAAATTGGAAGGAGTCAGAGGCATGAGAAAGCTGGGGTCAAAGCTGAGGTCTGCATGAGGCTGGGGTGAAGCGGAGGTCAAAGTCCAGGCTGGAATTGGATTGGGATCAGAGCTGATGTTCAAGGTTAGGGATGGGCTAAACACTGGGGTCGGGATTAGAGTTGGGGTAGGTGTTGAGATTTAGAGGTAAAAGTCAAATCTAAGGTCAGGATTGGGCTTAGATTTGGGGTCAGAGTCAAGGTCAGGGTTCTGCCTGGAGTTAGAGCTGAGGCCAGGTCACCCCAATCTGGTAGGTCCCAAGCATTTCTCACCAATGGAGGTTGCCTCCCGGCTGGGGTCCCAGGCTGTCCCATGGGGGCTCAGGAAGTCTGGAAGAGGAAAAGGGAAGGCACTCTTCCTCCTGGCCTCCAGGTCACACCCCACCACAACTACCACTTACGGCGCTCAGGAGCGTGACCACTCTCCCACTCACACACCTTTCGTCCTGGCGACTGGCTGGGCCTGCTCTTCATCCTCATTTTCATACGACTCAGATGCTGCAGAAAAAAGAGAACTCCAGGGGCCATCCCTGCCCTGTCGTGGCTCCACAGCCCTGTGGGGCCTCCCAAATCTCTGAGGCCCCACAAGGACCCCAAATTACCGTTGGAGAAGGAATCTTCATCCTCAGGAGCCAAAACCCCGTCATCGGGGTTCTCATAGCCGCTGCCATCTGGTGGAGAGGGAGAGGGGTCCAGCGAGGGTCCACAGACCCCCACTGTAAAGGCAGGAGAGACATGGGGGAGGGCAGTCTTACCCTGGGATAGCTGGTCCTGTCCAAGGTTGGAGTCGTTCTCGTAGAACTCGGAGCCCTCTTCACTGTCCGGCTCCTCATAGTTCTCCCCTTCTTCTTCGGGGCCTGGAGTTGGGGATAGGGGTGGGACCCGAGTCACGGTACCCCCGCTCCAGGCCCTGTGGACCGGGCCGCTCCAACACCCTTCATATGAGTACCGACCCCTCCCCCATTACCCGCTCCTGTCGGGCTCCGGGGCCCAGCGGCTCCAGCCTCCTGGACGTCGCTGCGCGGGACGGAGGTTCCCAGGCCTGCAGCCCACCGCAGGGCGCGTCCTGGCGAGAGGAGCGTTGTAGTGGGGCAAGTGAGAAGAGATGGGGGCGATCAGGGTTTAGGGTCTGCATGGCTGGACAGCGGGAGAGGATGCTTCAGGAGCGACCGGAGAACTCCCTGGTCTAGGCTCCAAGGGGCCGGGATCTAAATCTAGAGGCGTGGCCTCAGGCTCTCGGGTGAGGTTCTGCTCTCCGGACCGGACTTCGGGTCCCGTGTCCTGGGGGGCGGGACTTGGTCGTAGAAGCGGGGCTCATATCTGAGCGGGACTCCGCACCCCGGGGCGGGCTCTTTTCTGAAGGCGGAGCTCCGAACTCGGAAAGGCTTGGAACTCCCGGGATTGCGGGGATGGGAAAAATGGGTGGGGCTCTAGCTCTGGGTCAGAGATCGGGCGGTGCCTCGTACCAGTGCCAGAGGTGGGCGTGGGTAGGGAGAGCACGTTGCCGTACTGGTTGTGAGGCCCGCTTCCCGGGGGAGGAGTCACTTTGAAGAACCTGGCGGAGGAAGGGTTGTTGCGCTGTGAGGCCAGGCCTGGAGGGGACTGGGAGACTTGCTCAAGATTCAGGCCGGGCCCACAGAGACTAAAATGTTGTCACTTGAATTAGCCCCTCTGTCTTGGGACAGCCCACAGAGGGGTCTGGGATCGCTCCAAGGGGGTCTTCACAGAAGAGGTAGCTTTGGAGCTGGGCTTTGGAGTTTGGGGAGTATTTGCACCGCAGAGATGGAGAAAAAGACACGGAGGGGACAGCAAGTGCAAGACATAAAGTGAAAGTGCAGGAGTGGGAGACTGAGGGGGCGCTCGAATCATTACCTTCGGGTGGGATCAGTCATTCGCTTTCTTTTCCTCCTCCGTATCAGGGCTGGTGAGAATTAATGGGCAGTGATTAGAGGAGAGGCTGCTTGGCCAGGTGAGGATTTGCGGGGGGTGCTGGGGAGGTCACTTGGGCCAATGGAGGAGATGGGAGTTCACATTCCAAGGGGCTAGGATGTTCAGAGGGCGTTTAGAGGAGTGAGGGGCAGTGGCACAAAGGGGACTGAAGTTCGTGGGGGAGGAGAGAGAGAAGGTTGTCAGACTGGCCGGTGTGGGCTTTCCTGAGGGAGATGGGGTAAGGTGTAGCAGACCAGCTGGGGGATGTGACTCACCTTTTTGAAGATAAAGAAAGCCCGCCAGGGAACCCATGCAGAAGATGAGATACAGTAAAGTTGTCACAGGGACTTTCCAGCCACCACTCTCCAGCAGCCATTGCCTTACTGCAAGCGGGAAAGGAGCTGTGAGATGAGGACCAGGGCTGACAATCTTACTTCCCAGCCTCAAGACCTCAAAGGGCCATAAATCAGAGGGACAGGGGCGAGACACAGATCCTTGAAGTCCCAAGCCACAAGGAGGGCTCTCCTCCCTCCGTCTGAGAACAGTGACTGTGCCACAGACCCTGGCACAGGGCCTGGAGCAGCATCTGTTATTAAGCAAAACGTGAACAAAGCGTGACTGTAGTCAAAGGCAGTGTTAGGATTGAGGGGAGCATGATAGTTTGCAATTAAGAGCTGCCATTGTCAAAGTGAAAAGCAGAGTCAAGGTCATAAGGCTGGAGGTGGGAGGCAGCAAGGTGCTGAGATGCATTGGAAGTGAAAGTTGAGGTTGAGTTTGAGAATTGTGGTTAGGGGAGCGTGGTGGGATGATATGAAGGGAGATAGAATGGGCAGAACACTGACGGATCTGAGGGATGCGGGAAGGACAAGGAAGGCTGCCCAGATTCCTGGCTTGGGCACATGGACACGTGGGCAGGTGGTGTCTTACATAGGGCCACCCAGAAGCCTACGCTCGGGGAAGATGTTGAGTTTTATTTTGTATCTGTTGAGCCTGCAGGGTTCATGGAACATGAAATGGCAATTCCAGGTGTGGGGGGGTATGGAGCCTCAAATCTAGTCACCAAGGCGTGATGGCCCAAGTAGCCCTGGGAGTAAAGGAGGACAAATAGGAAGAGTGTATAGATAAGGATGAGAGAGTGTAGAAGGGATTAGATGGCTCAGGGCTCCAATGGTGAGGAGGGAGGGAGGAAGGAAGACTCTACCAAAGCTGATGGGAAGGAGGATCCAGAGGTAGGAGAAGACCCAGAAAAGTTGTGTCTTTGGAAGCAAAGAGGAAAACAGGTGGGTCAGTATTCTGAGTAGTGGTTGGGGGTTGGGCTGAGGCTGGTACTAGCCAAGGGGAGCCACCAAGGTTGACTGACTTCCAGTTCTTCCCAACAGCTTCACACTCATGCCCCACTATTGAGAGACACTGTACCTGACTGGGTTTTGACCTTCAGCTGCATCTCGATGGTCATGTTGCCATGGGAACAATGATAGGTGCCAGCATCTCGAGCTGTGGCCTGGTGCAGCCACAGAACAGCCCCTCCTCGGAGGGAGCCCAGGACCCACATCTCTCTGACTGAGGCATCCTCACTCAGGTTTAAGCTCAGCAATGAAATGTTAGGCTTCTTGGGGTGCACGTAGATCCAGGAGATGGGGCCCCTGGTCACAGAGGCACGGGGCAACCAACAGGGCAGGCAGAGTGTGGAGCCAGGAGACACGATGAGGTCTGGGGCAGGGAGAGCCAAGGCTAGGAAAGGGTAGGCCTTGGGGTCTCCTCCCCTGCAAACCCCCCAGTTCCAAATGACCATCCTCTGTCCCTGGATCCCCCACTGTCCCCTCAACTTCCTGGCATTTCCCCAGCACCTCACCTTGGTCGAGGCTCTGGTTTGAACTTCCCTTAGGTGGGGCACATGCAGGGTCTGTCTTCCAGATCTGAGGGTGGTCTTTGGTCCGCATGTACAACTGGGAGCTTTTGGAGTGACCATCAGAGGGCATGGTCCCCAGGTCACAATTTGAGTCATTTAGGTCTGAAGTCTTCCACCGGAACAGCTCCCCTGGGAAGAGACCCGGAACCAGATGCAGAGACGTCCAGGGGAGGCCAAGAAACACAGAGACCCAGCAAAACAGATAAATTGAAACAGACCTAGAGAGACACAGGGAGACAGCATCTCCGCGAAAGATGAGGCTGAGAGAGACACGGAGAAGCTCAGTGTGGAAGTCACACAGCCACCATTTTTTAGGAGCCACATATAACTTGCTCCCTGCTTGACCCACACCCCCCAGCCCCTCCCTCTAGACCCATTTTAGCTGCCAGACCTCCTCCATCCATGGTGGGCCTCCCTCTTCTCATTCAGCCCTCCCTGCCCCACCCTGGACCTCACCGCTGCCCTCCACGCTGACTGTCCAGCCAGGCTGCCAGGCCTGCTCAGAAGGGGACCCCTGTTGGCACAGGTAGAAGCCCCCCATCTGGTCGGAGATGTTGGAGATGAGCAGCAGGATGCTCAGGGGCCCCACCTGGATGCCCAGGCCTGGCAGCCCTCCTTTCAGCTTTAACAAGGATGCTGAGTGGCACTCCTGGTACCAGGCCAGCAGATCGTGGGGATCATCTGAGGGACCCTTGAGGCACGGCAGCACAGCACGGCTTCCCTCTATGGAGAAAGAGAGATGGAGAGAGAGGAGCCCTCAGCCCCCTCCACTCCTCCCACTGGGTTGTACACCCAAGGACTTCAGACCCCACCACCTGGGAGTGGACAAGCTCTCAGAATCCTTCCTATCCCTGCCTGAATTTACAGCTAAGAAAATGGAGGCTCAGAGAGGGTAAGTTATTTGGCCGAGGGCACCGAGCCAGAACCCAGGTTTCCAGCCCCGGCTCCTATCAATGCCCTGTGGACTTACCTTTCACCTCCACCAGCTGCGGTTTCTGGAGCCTGACTCCCACGGGGGAAAGGAAGAGAAGGAAGAAGAGGAGGAGAGGAGGTGGCATGGTGGCCAGACTTCCCGAAGCACCCAGCTTGGCCGCGCAGAGGATGCTGGGGCAGGCAGAGGCCCGGTGGGCACTGAACCATGGGCATCTGCGGGGGTGGGCAGGCAGTCCCCCCAGGAAGGAAGGGGTGGTCACGCCTCAGGCCCCTTTCTCCATGCACCCCTCCACACCCACAAAACTCCCCTCCTCCCTGCGACAATTTTAGTTTCATCCCAGTGCTGACCACCAGTGAAATGATCTTATTTGTGTCTATTTGCTCACTTCCTGTCCCCCCACCAGAGTAAACCCCTTCGTTGCAGCAGAGACGGTCATGTTCACCCCTGTATGCGCGATGCTGATTGTCGTCCCAGTAAGTATTTATTAAATGAGTGGATCTAGTCTTAAGGGCTTCCTCCTTCCACCTCAGGCTCCAAATCCATTTCCCTTCACACACACATACCTCATTCATTCATTCCACTGACATTTCTTGGGCCGCCTTCCGCGTCCATACAGCTAGCCCATCACAGACACTTTGGGACCTGGCAGAACCGAATGTGAATTCTCCACCTCTGATACTTCCTTGACCCAATTTCTTCATCTCTTGAAGCCTTTGTTTCTGTCTCTGAAAACCTGAGCTAATAATAGGACCATCACAAATACTGTTTGTGAAGATTAAACAGGACAACATACAGGCGGCGTTTGTTTTTAGCCCAGCACGCAGCGCATATTAGGCCCCCAGTTCATGAGAGCCGGCTCTATTAATGACTAAGAGCTCAAGCCAGACTGTCCCTGGAGCTCCTCTCTGTAGGGGTCCTGAGAAATGACTGGTGATGAATCCCCCTGTTTCTCCCAGTTCTTCCCCAGGAAGGCCCTACTTCAGTTATGGAAGGGACCCATTTAGAAATGGGGAAATTGCCCCCAGAAGGGCAGGGTGTTGCCCCGAGATCACACACTGAACTGGTGGTGCAGTGAGCATCAGAGCCCAGGAGTCTTGACTCCTAGTCTGCTCTGCGCCTCCTCTCTCCCTCCCTCTCCTCCTTTCTTTTTTTTTCCTCCTATGCTTCCTCTCCCTGCCCTGTATGTGTATGTGTGCTTGTGTATTTCTGTCTTTCACTCAGAGAAAGGGTCCAGGGACCCAAGAGACCTGCTTTCTCAGTTGCAGGTTCCCAGGGCCACCTCACTGGGCTGTGGCTTCCTGTTTGCCTCTGGCAAACCCCAGGGGACCCTCCAGCTGTCAGGGGCCCCCACTTCGCTTTGGTCGGGTTGGGGTGGCTCATCTTGGGGAGGAAGAGTGGGGCATTGGGGAATGGAGAGGATGAGGTGTCTGGGCTTCTTTTTTTGCCTTTCATTCAACAAAATCTCTGTAATCCTGTTTTGTTTTGTTTTTTTAAGATTTTTTTATTGGGAAATTGGAGGAGGGGAACAGCATTGGGGAATCGGGGAAGGGGAACAGAGAAGTTGCTGTCCTTTTGTTCTTCAGTCTAGTTGTGGAGGACGTTGCTTCACTGGCCCATGTTAGTATTTTCATTGCGCTCTTCCTGGGTGAGGCAGTCACTCGCCGGCCATTAGATGGCCGCTCACAGTGGCCCAGGAAAGCTCACGCCCACTGCTGGCCAGCTCCACTGCAGCCTACGCGGTCGCCGGCGACTCGGCATCCCAGCTCCAGGTCGAGCTGTTGTTCACCATCTTAGCTGTAGAGGGCGCAGCGTCACTGGCCCTCATGTGGGACCCAAACTGGGGCCCTGCTGCTCGGAGCTGGCGTCCCAAGCCAACTGTTAACCAACGTGCCACTAGGCCAGCCCTAATCCTATTTTTTTTAACTTCCCAGCTGCCTCGCGGGGGCAGAGTCTTCTTGCTAAAACAAATGAGTCCCGTTTAGAATATTTCAGTAGCTTTTCATCTACTGAAAAGAAACACTCCAAACCATGACCTCCCAAGGCCTGAGTGAGGCAGCCGCACCTAGGCTTTCCACGTCAATCCTCCACCACTCCGCCCCTCGTCCACCCCACATCCCTCCCCCCTACACACACACACACTCCTTGGCGCAGCTTGGTCTCATCATTCAGGTCTCAGTTCAAATGATACTCCTCAGAGAGAATTTCCCTGACCCTATTTCCTTCCCAGCATTTGCCCCAATCCCAAATTATGTTTGTTTGTTAGTTGTCTCATCTGCCTCCTGCCCCTGAGTGTTTCCTCTGTGACAACAGAGATCTTTACTGTCTTGTTCACGGACATCTCATAGGTGCATGAGAAGTTTTGTTGTATAAAGGAAGGAAGTTAGGAAGATTGGAAGAAAAACTTTTTTTTTCTCTTCCCCCCCATGCAATGTTACTAAGGCTAGTCCATTTTCTAGCCTAAATATTTCTAGAATCAACTTTCTCCTCATTGTGGACTCTTCCCTTTGCAACCAGAACCATTTCAACAGCTTCTTTCATGAGTTGTTTGACCTACACCCCACAAAGACAGAGCGTCCTTGGTATTAGTCTTGTGCATCCTCCCATGGCTCCCAGGCCTCAGGGTAAACCCCAAGAATGTTGACAGGAGCCTTATTTATAGTCATCATTTCACCCCTTTCCCAAGAAACCCTGCCACATACACAGGGAATCCTGAGGACAGGAAGCTGTAAACTACTGGAGATTTATGAGCCAGGCATTGACCAGGCCAGATTTGCACTTTCTAGAGAGATCAGTAAGGAAACGGTTCATTCATGTCACTCATTCATTCCTTCACCGGATGTTTATTTACTACTATGTTTATTTCTCAGGCACTGTCCTAGGTCCTGGGGAAACAGCAGGGGACAACAAAGACTAAGGGGACAACAAAGCTCCTGATCTCATGGAGCTTTGATTCAAGTTTTGGGGCCACAGGAGGATAAAGAGGGACAGGTAATAAACAAGTTAACCAATGAGCAATTTCAGATGGTGAGAATTATCTGATGTAATCTAATGGTGGACAAGAGATTGTCGTACTTTTTTCCAGAGTGGCTATGTTACCAGCCCACTGACTGCAACCCCCCCCCCCAAAAGACTTAAGTTTTCTTTCCTATAGAAATGTTAAGTATAGAAATGTTAAGTCTCCTCCCTAGTTTCTTAGTTCCTTAGCTCTTGGCTTTGATTACTTTTCTAACCAGTTTGTAAATCCTAGACTAAAGATTGCTCCTAGCCTGAATCCTAAAATTCTATCCCCCTGCTTCTTGATTGCTTTGTAAATCAGTTTCTGAATCCTAAACAATAGAAGTCTCCTGCTTCAGATAACTACTTGAGGGCCTGTGACTTCCTAATATCCCCCAGGCCAGTAAACTGAATGCCAAACCCATTCTGGGCCCAGACAACTGACACCACCTGAGCAACAGGCTGAATGGCAACAGGCTTCATGAGAGCTAACAGATTATTAATTAAAATCTATTTTTCCTCATTCAGGGACTTTGGGGATACAGAGAATACCCCAACAAGATTGATGGTAACAACCAAAGAAGCCAACACGGTCTTCTAGGCGGAGCTCGAGACCCCTTCCTTCCATCTGAGATCAGCTAGGGTGAGAGTTCCGTGAATCCTGCAATAGGCAGGGACAGCTCTACACCCCTGCCCAGCAGGAAGCAGATACAGAAGGAGACACCTCCTGTCCCTCAACTTCCCATAGAGATGTTATGGGGATCACGTCTCTCAAGGGGAAAACTAGGCAGGCAGTTAGAGGCAGGCAGCATTCCTGCACATCCCACAGAATGTGACCGCCAACAGGACATCCCCTCTCCACCCAAAACTCCCCTTTGTATTGTAATTACCTATCCCTGCGGGAAAACAAATGGGTGCCAAATACCCAACTAGATCAGACGAGTCACTTTTACCTGCGCAGTACCGCTTGTCAATCACAGGTGCCAATCAATTGGTCCCATGCCCTTAGGGGAACAGCCCATTCTAGAGAAGGGATAAAAACACCAAGTCCTGGGAAGTCCGTCCCTTTTTTTCCTGGTTTTTCCCTTTTTGGATGCCCTGCTCTTTTGACCACTTCTCCCTTTTTGAGCCTTTTGAGCCTCGCCTTTGCACGTGGCCTACTCCAAACTCTTTGGAATGTACTATCTCTTCAAATAAACTACTTTTTCAGTACTTTACTCCGGCATCTTGTTCAATTCTTTGCTCGAGTTGCCAAGGACCTGGACTTTGCGCCGAGAAGGGCCCATTTTCTGACAACAGCTATACCATTTTACATTCCCATCAGGAATATATGAGATCTGACACTTGAGCTCACCAACTTGTTGCAACGATGTTGCTAACTTTTTTTGATAGCAGAGGAATTATTCATTATGAATTTGTACCAACTGGACAAACTGTTAACCAAATTTACTATTTGGAAGTGCTAAAAAGGCTGCGTGAAAAAGATGACCTGAACTTTTTACCAACAATTCATGGCTCTTGCATCACAACAATGCACCAGCTCACACAGCACTGTGAGGGAGTTTTTTAGCCAGGAAACAAATAACTGTATTGGAACATCCTCCGTGCTCACCTGATCTGGCCCTAAATTACTTCTTTCTTTACCCAAAGATAAAGGAAAGGTTGAAAGGAAGACATTTTGATGACATTCAGGACATCAAGGGTAATGACAGCTTTGATGGCCATTCCAGAAAAAGGGTGCCAAAATTGCTTTGAAGGGTGGACTAGGCGTTGGCGTTGGTGCATAGCTTCCCAAGGGGAGTACTTCAAAGGTGACCATAGTGATATTCAGCAATGAGGCATGTAGCACTTTTTCTAGGATGAGTTCACGATCTTAATTGTCCAACCTCATATGAGAAACCGTTTCTCTATACACTCACTTGGTATTATCACTTTTTTATCTTAGCCATCCTGGTAGGTGTGTGTGCTATCTCCCTGTGGTTTAAATTTGCATTTTCCTAATGGCTAATGATGTTGCACATCTTTTCATGTGCATATTTGTCATCTATCACATCAATGAAATGCCTGTTCATGTCCTTTGCCCATTTTCAAATTGGATTGAACTAGTTTAAGCAGGGATGAGACACGATCTATGTTTTATTAAGATTACTCTAGTTGCTTTAAAAATGAACTTAAAGGGCCAAAAGGTCACACAGGGGAACAGTTAGGAGAGATGATGAGGTCTGGGGCTGGGTTTTAGCGCTGAAGAAAAAGGGATGCATTCTGGAACCCTCGGTCCTTGGAGGTAGAGTTTACAGGGCTTCCAGGCTCTTTACAGAAGAAACAGATTAGGGAGAAGAGGAATCCAGATACTGGACTTAGTTGGAGTTGCCGGGTATCATCCAAGGGGAGCCGTGTCAGGTCGAGAGTTGGAGGGAGAAGTCACAGATAATAAGTTTGACCTAGGACAGTGCGGAGGGAGGAGAGGAGGGATTTGAGAGGCATGGGGAGCGGGATTAGCAGGAAGCGCTGACTAGTTGAATATCAAAGTGGGGGTGGGGACTCGGGCGCCCAGAAAATTGGAGCGGACCCAGCCCTGCCCCGAGGGATGCTCCGCGAGGGCGGAGGTGCACGGAGGCCCGGCCACAGTTCTCAGTATTGTGAGCCAGGCTCCAGCGGAAGGGCGGCCAGTGGCCGAGCAAGGGGCCGCCTCCAGGGCTCGGGAGAGACCGCAAGAGCTTTGCCCTCCTTCTACCCAGGTCGTAGGGCATCCCAGAGGAGGTGTAATTCCAAGGTCACGTGGAGATGCCAGCAGGCCTCTGATGAAAGAACTTCGGGGTTTGAAGGACTGGTATCCTCCAACAGCGCTAGCCCGGAAAGAAAGCGGAGAAGGCGAGGCCTGGTGCCGCGGCCCGGCGTGGACTCCTGGCCCAACTCCGGCCGCCGGCCTGAAGCCGGGCTGATCCGGAAATAGCCGAGCGGATCCGGAAACAGCCGAGAGGACCCGGAAGCGGTGAGCGCCGTCACCAGGGAGTGCGGGGCCCCGCCGTTTGCGCAGAGGCGATGGCGGCAGCTGCGCCGGCGGCCGCGGGCGAGGATGGCCGGCGACTGCGGCCGGGGGCTGGTACGTGAGGGCGCGTCCATGCATACGAGGGGCGGTGAAGCCGGAGCTCAGCAGCCGGCCGATGGGGGCTGGTGAGGAGAGACAGGAGAAAGGGGCGGGGCCACGCCGCCAGGGAAGAGGGGGCGGGGCCTGGAGCCACCGGTGGAGGCGTAGGGCAGGTGAGAGGTGGAGCCCAGTGTGGAAGGGGCGGGGCCGTGTGGGCAAGGGGCGGGGTCCTTGGAAGGGAGGGGTCTTGTCAGAAAAGGGTTGGGTGAACTGAGGGACTGGGAAGAGGCGGGGCTATAGCCAACACAGGGCCGAGCTAAGCGAGAAGGGGGCGGGGAGGGGGCGGGGCCAGGTGAGCGGCGGGGCTAGAGGACCCGGCGTGGACCGAGGCTCAGTCCTACCAGGTTGCAGGACCTTCGGATTTGGTGGCCTGAGTGATTGGGGATCCCGGAGTGATGGGAAGAGAGGCTGATCCCTGTCCCCCACAGTGCTGGATCCCCAGCCCCAGGATGGGGCAAAGGTTGAGGCTGAGTCAGCGGAGCTCGGCCGACTTCGGGCTGAGCTGGCAGGCGCCCTGGCAGAGATGGAGACCATGAAGGCTGTGGCGGAGGTGAGCGAGAGCACGAAGGCCGAGGCTGTGGCTGCGGTGCAGCGGCAATGCCAAGAGGAGGTGGCCTCGCTGCAGGCCATCCTGAAAGGTGAGGCAGGGTCTCTTTCCAGACTCCCCATCAGCCCCATAAAGGGGAGTGCATGACCCGAAAGTGGTCAGGGGGACAGATAAGCCATGGGGTAGGTTAGCAGGGCTGCCTAGCCCAGGACAGACTTACGGCCCCAGAGGAAGGGACACCCTTTTTTAATTTGCGCAGGCAGTTGCTAGCAGCAGCGCTGTCAGTTCCAGTTAAGTTTATCTCCGAGCTTCTACCTGGTTTCCCTGCTCCCTGTCATTTCTTGTCCATCACTGATGACTGATCAACCCTGATGATGAGTAACTTTTCAATTCCCTGAAGCACCCTCATTTGAGCCTCTGGGCTTCAGACTCAGCCCTGGGCCTTGTCTCTGTGAGTCTAATCCTCTGGTTTCCTTCCTTCCCTGGGCACCCCCCCTACATCTGCAGCCCGCCCCCCCCACACACACACACGCGCATATGCACTGACTTCCCTCCCTCACGTCTTCTGTATGTACTTGGGATGCATCTCCATCCCTTGCCCCAGATCCCCCAGCTTCTTTTTCTGTTTCCCCCTTGTCCTCTAGTCAGAGGCCAGAGGCCCTGAAATATCGGGTTGTTGGAAAAGTCATGACGTATTTTTTTCTATGTTTTTCATTGCAAAAATGCGTCATGACTTTTCTGACAACCCAATAGCTTCCAGTCCTGCCCCACCCCTCTGCGCCCACTGCCATTGCTGTAGAGAAGATCACCACAACTTCCCAGGACTGTCGCCCCAGCCTTCTCACAGGTCTCCCTCTATAGTCTGGCCTTGACATTGGCTTCCAGAGTAAACTTCCTAAAATTCCCATTCCACCGTGTCATTTCCTTTTATAACAAGGGCTCCTGGCTCTAGACGTCTCTGGGGCTGTATTGCCCACTTTTCAGGCATCCACATGCCCCCGGTACAACGGGGTTGTCTCCTCGGATGACTTACACTGTTATCTACTTAATGTTTGTTCTTCAAACAGATTCGCTTTTTAAAACCTCACATACATGTATTTTAAAGGAAATGTCCTGTCCCCATAAGAGAAACTATCCTAAGTCATCATTATAACAATAATGATGAAAATAATAATAGCTAATGTTTATTGAGCACTTACTGTATGCCAGGCACTGAGTTAAATGCTTTATGAGTATTGAATCTTTATAGCAATCTCTGCGAGGGAGGAACTGTTGTCTCCATTTCCATTTTACAGAGGAAGCTGTGAGGCCCAGAGAGGTTAGATAACTTGTCCAAGGTCATACAGGTAGCAAGCAGCAGAAGCTTTGAACCCAGGCAGTCTGGTAGCAGAAACTTTACATCTTTTTTATTTTTAAACATGATATATGACAAATTTATGTAACCAATAACTTAGTTCACACCATGTAATAAAAACTATATTAATCAAGATACACAAGGGCAGCCGGTTAGCTCAGGTGGTTAGAGCGCAGTGCTCATAACACCAAGGTTGCCGGTTCGATCCCCACTTGGGCTGCTGAGCTGCGCCCTCCACAATTAGATTGAAACAACTACTTGACTTAGAGCTGATGGGTCCTGGAAAAACACACTGTTCCCCAATAAAAAAAAAATTTAAAAAAAAAAGGTACACAAGCTTTTGTAGGTTCTAAACTGAAGGAACGTTTTTTGTTCTGCAGAATCCTTAAAATTTAGCATTATTTAGCCTTTCTACTGAGGTAAATTACAACAATGATGAAATGGACCAGTTTTCTTTTATGAATCATTCCAGCTTTGTTCAACAATGGCTGAACCTCATTTCTCATATNCTTCAGTCTAGTTGTGAAGGATGTCGCTTCACTGGCCCATGTTGGTATTATCATTGCGCTCTTCCCGGGTGAGGCAGTCGCTCGCCGGCCATTAGACGACTGCTCACGGGGGCTCACGACCGCTCATGCCAGCTGCCGGCCAGCCTCACTGCAGCCTACGCCTTCGCTGGCAACTCATGGGCAGCCCAGCTCCAGGTCGAGCTGTTGTTCAGCATCTTAGCTGTAGAGGTCGCAGCGTCACTGGCCCTCATGTGGTATCTGAACCGGGGCCCTGCTGCTCAGAGCTGGCGTCCTAAGCCAACTCCTAACCAACGCGCCACTCGGCCGGCCCCACACCTTTTCTCTTGAAGGCGTTGTCCTGGAAGTTGCATATGGCACATCTGTCTATGTGTCATTAGCTGTGATGTGGTCATACGGCCATGCTGAGTTACAGGGAAGCTGAGACATGCAGTCAATAGGCTAGAATTTAGGCCACGTGCCCAACTAAAAAAGGTTAGGTTCTATGATAGAAGAAAAAAAATGGATGTTAGGGAAGAAAAGTATGGTGAGCAGCTGGTCAATGGGAAGATCGTCGTGACTCTGGCCACTTTACCGACCATGTGACCTGGGGCAGGTCCTTGAGCTCTCAGAGCCTCTGTTCTTATATCTAAAATGGTGGAATGTGCCTTCTTGGGAGAAAAGCTGATGTGCCTGCCTGAGACAGAGCAGAGGGGTCCTGCAGTCGGGGGTGGAGGGATCTGTCGCTGCCCAACCATCCACCTTCCTTCAGGCCCATGAGGACTCGGAGAAGCTTCGAGAGATCGTGCTGCCCATGGAGCAGGAGATAGAGGAGCTGAAGACGAAACTGCTGAGAGCGGAGGAGCTGATTCAAGAGATCCAGGTGAGGGGAGGCTGGGGGCCACCAAGGGAAGGAGGGAAGGGCGCTGCAGGACCCTGGCCCCCCAGCCTCTTCCCTGCCCCCCTTCCCTAGAGACGTCCCACTGAGGTAAATTACAACAATGATGAAATGGACCAGTTTTCTTTTATGAATCATTCCAGCTTTGTTCAACAATGGCTGAACCTCATTTCTCATATTCTTGTTTGTCTGCCTGAGAAAGTTGTGCTGCCTGGCTTTTGGCTGGACTGTTTGGATTCAGCAGAACCTTTAATGTCAGTACATGTTAAAATAAATACTTATTACTATTATGAGATGTTGACTGTTATTGGTAGTATATTCATAGGAACAGATAACATACCTTCAACATTATGTACCAGGAAGAGAGCTGAACACCTTCTAGCTGAACACCTTCTAGCTGTCATCTCCTTTGATCCTGTAACAACCCAGTGGGGTAATCATTAGTGTCCCCATTTTGCAGCTGAGGACACTGATGCAGAGAGGCTAACTGATCACTCATCCAGGGCCATCTCTCCACAAAGCCCACTGTCTTACTTGTTACAGTAAATTGCCTCACAGAGCACGTCCGTGATGGTGAGCCCCCCACTCGCCCACAGTGGGGGCCAGTGCACTGACCCCGCTGTGTCCTTCCCGCCCCACCAGACTCCATCAGCAGCTACGAAGCCCAGATCACTTCTCTGAAGCAGGAGCGGCAGCAGCAGCAGCAGGACTTTGAGGAGAAGGAGTGGGAGCTGGGCCGCCTGAAGCAGCTGCTGTCCCGGACTCACCCCCTGGACTCCTTGGAGAAGCAAATGGAAAAGGTTGGGGTTGGAATGGCCTCCCTCACCACCCCACCCTGGGAGTTGGGAAGATGTTGAGGCAGCCAAAGGTGACCGTGGGGCAGAGGGGTGGTTGGTGTGCCGCCCCCAGGTCCCTGAGAGCAGGGATCCCAGTCATCATTCCAGGTATAGCACCTGCTAGCTCCATACTTAGCAAGATGCTGGCTTGTTGCTCACTAGCGGATTGGCTGGGCTCATTTACCATCAAAATTAAAAGACAGTCATGTCGGGGAAAGAGCGCTAACACTTAGGGATGCGTCTCATGCACTAGTAACTCTGATAACTGCTTGACAGCCTTGGGTTCTCCAGGCTTTCCCCTGAAAGTAAGGCCCAGTAGGTCCATTTATCAGATGAGTAAGATGAGGCTCAGAGAAGTTCAGTAATTCTCCCCAGGTTATGCTCATGAAAAGGAGATTTGGGACTTAAAAATCTAGGCAGTCTGGTTCTACAAGTTAAGTTTTTCTTCTTAATTTCTATATCACTTCCTTTATTGGTGTTATTAACAGTAGCAGGAAGCACATATTCAACTTTCAAAGCAAGTTCACATCATTACCTCACTTGGTCCTCATGGCAGCCCTTTGAGGAACCTACTCAGCTCACTTTATGCGCTGGAGTAAATCGCCTGGTTAGAAAGACAAAGACCCAAACAGGAGCCCAAGAAAGGAAGGCATCCAACCCACAGCTTCCCAGCAGAGGCTGCTGCTTGCATCAGTGTTAGCAGTTAGCCAGGGCAGGGAAGGAGAAGGCTCTGCTACATGAAAGCCACCCAGGACAGCGGGAGACGCAGCAGGCCTAGACTCAGGCAGTTCCAGGCCTGGCCCACCTCCTGCATTCAGCCGTCATCCATCCACAGCCTGGGTGTCTGCAGAGCATGGGTTCCAGATCTTCAGATGGGACCCAGTGTGTTTTGTTGGGGCCACCCAGGTTTCCTTTGCCTGTAGCGGTAGTTCACACAAGAGATGTGGAGGTTTAGACTGAGCTTGTTTGAGAAAGGTTTTTAGCGATTCAAGAAACAGAAGTGCCATAGATTGGAAGAGGATGGGAGATGGGCAGTTTTCTGCTTGGGTTAGCTGGGTGGATAGCAGGGCCATTCTTACCGACCTAGCATGTCGGGGAGGAGCAGTGGTGTCCTGAGTCGGTTCACATTTGGCCGTACTAGGATCGAGGAGCC